GAATGAGACGCTGTATCTCCATGTGAAAAGACGGAGATCCTCGATAGAATACAGTTCTATTCCCAGCACATGTAATTAGTCAACTGTTACTTTTCGTAGCATAGTTCTTCCCGATATTAATTCGTAAGCTACATTACGACACATTTTTATTGAGAAGGCTTGTTGCTATGGTTCCCCCCCCCCCCTCAGCTAGGCTCCTGATGAAGTATGAATTCGGACAAAACGTTAAATATTGTTTTAAAAACACTTTACACGTCTTCTACTCAACTAAATTGATAGAATGCAGTTCTCCGAGAGGGAATCAAGCTCACCTCTTTTGAGGACAACAGCGAAGATCTTTTTATGCAATACACCTCAACCGATCGTCCCAAACCAGCTCTCAACTAACCATGGGCCTATCGTGAAACACGAGTCAACGATAAAAAGTTGTGTACTTGGCTTTGATTGTTAAGCAATCTCATTTTTAAAAGTATTTTACGACGCTAGCAACTGCTTAAGGTCATATGGGCGTGCGGGTAAACATTTTCATTTGGTAGGAAATTTTGAATTTTGTCCGGGTGGCGGCTGAAGCTTACTTTTATCGATTTTAGACCACCAAGGGATCTAGTTTAACGCACGCAACTTGCACACGAGACCTCTGAGATTTTTCGATCTTATTCGAGAAGGGAACAGAAAAACTTGAGCCATTCTCAACGTGATGTGCCGAATTGTGAAATAAAACAAAATAAATATCGGGCTGGATAATTTTTTTTGCAAACCTTAATTCACCAAAGATTTTGTGCTACTTCGATCCAGTTATAATTATTTGTTTATGCTTGAAGAGCTTTCAGATCAGGTTATTTTTCTACTTTTTAACCGTTTTGAAAATAACCCGTTTTGTTACTAGATGTTTAACTTTTTCATGAAAACGTATTCAATGTGCCACCACGAACCTTAATTGAAAGATCTCATATTACGTTTCGTGTCAAGATTGGAACGTCGTTTGACGAAACATGTGCCTAAAATCATTGCATTTTACTGTTTTTCCTTACAGTTAGAAAATGAGGCTTTCTGAGGCAACAATATATTTTTTTCTTTGTATAATTACGCTAGCCAGTTGGCTTTTATAATATCCAGCCCAATTTATTTGGTCTTATTTCACAATTCAATTCGGCACATCACATTAATCTTTATAAGCGCTGAGAATGGCTCAAGTTTTTCTGTTAGTTATAGTTCTGGATTTGTTTTTTTGTTGTTTGTTTTTTTTTACTTGTTTAGGATAGGAGAGCGTTTATTTGTATTGGCGTTTTGGCTTATCTGCTGGATCTTACACAGTGTCATCAGTATTGCGGCGCAACAGTTAGCTTCTTTGACTTCTGCTCAAAAGATCATAAATTGTACTTCATGGGCCCAAGATCTGGAGCGCACTTCCTGGTAATTTAAGAGAGATCAAATCAAGTTATTAATTCATTGCAAGATCAGCTCAAGTCATTTCTGTTTTTAGATTAAAGATATCTACATTTATTATTTTTAGTCAGAACACCATGCACTGTTCATGTGTTGCTATTGTGGCCCAGAGTGTGTGTTCTGTAATCGAGGTTGAGGGCGAAGTTCATATCATACTATAATCAGTATTAAGACGCCAGTTCGATTGTGATGTCCGGTGATAATAATATGATATCAAGTATCTTTATTCTTTTGCTGTGACATACCCGACACTGTCAGGGCTAGGGGCTCTCGTGGCCTAGAAGTTAAAGTGCTCGCCTTTTATTCAAAGGTACCGGGGTCGAATTTAAATTTTCTTACCAACTGAAAATGTTTATTGTGTCCCGCACGTTCATATGACCAATGTAGTTGCGAGCGCCGTAAAACACTTGCGAATAAAAACCACAACAACAACAAATAAACATTAAAAAAAACGACAAAAAAAACCTCAACAAAACCCCCCCCCCTCAAACTGTCAGGGCTTGACCGGCGGGGGCCAATACTGCCCGCGTCTTGAAAGATGAAGATTTGGTCGGTGAGGGTCCGGTCACTTTCGCAACCCCGAATCAAGAAAATATCACAGCCATGTGTATGATCTTCTTGTTTTGCCTCATGACTCATGTTCTACAGTGTGCTTGACTTGCTCCTAAGTTAATTTGTAATTCTGATAAAATCTGAAACAAAACAAAAAGTATAAGCGTTCACCTGTCGTAACCCTGTGTCAGTCACGGGCAAAACAGCGCAGTTCTTAGAGTCGGGGGAAAAGCGCGCACGAAATGTTCCGGCATTTATCCACACCTTTCAAGCAAGAAGTTGTTCTCAGCTTTGGAAAATGTCCTGAGAACGATCCAGAGGGCAACACGTCGTCTATTTCTGATCTTGCGATCACAGATTTTTAACGCGACTCTGTATTCTTCCTCTAAATCTTCTCGCTACTTTCCGAATCACGGAGGTTTTGGCCCTCAGTACTGCCCGACTGACGCTCGGACCAGGATCACAAGCGTATTTAAACAAGACTTGAATACGAGAAATATACCCGTAATGTCACGAGGCTAAACGATACAAGGGGACGGAAAGGATAGAGGGTAGGGGGGTCTTATTGTGTTAGGACACGATCTTCCCTACAAAACAGGTTCTAGTGAAGTGAAGTAGCACACGCATCTACCCGACTGTTCGGGTCTGTTTGATCGTGTCGGGCGGAAAGTTAGACTGGTCACAAACGTAACTTTAATATGTATTGCATTTAAATAAAAGACAGAACATCAATATTCCATAGTACAACCCACTCAACTATGTAATTGCTTAAAAAGATTGTGCCATTACTCTTTTGTGTACAGTTCTGATATCCGATTTATGTACTCTCTGATTCATTTTGCGCCTAATGGTTCTAAATTACATAGGTATTTTTACTTCTCCATCGACACAAAGTTTGTTCTTTTAGGAGGTGGACTTCAGCCCTGCCTCTCAGTGACAATCCGGACTGAATGAGATACAATACTCTAGGAGAAGCATCGAGAAACTCATTGGAATTTCTCCCACTCGAGCATCGAACTCGGGTTTAATGCTTGCTACATTGCAGCACCTTGGCTCTACCTCACATTCTCGGGTTCTGAGTATTGCATGGTAATGTAAATGTCTTTCCATGAACGTGAAGCTTGGACAAAATGAAAGGCACGGGCAGTGGAAACTAGCTAAGAATCCTTTAGTACTTTGGAAAGGTTTTTCGACAAAAATGGGTAGAAAGGGACACGGCACACCAGCAAACAGGCGGAGATACTTGATAATGTTATAGACTTTCAATGATAGGCATCGAACCCACGTCTTTGTGCTCAACGGCAAAATTGATTAACTACCACCACCACCTCCATCATCATCCTCCTCCTCCTCCTCATCCTCATCATTATCGTCATCATCAAATTCATAATCATAGGCGTCGGTGGCCTAGTGGTTAGGCTCTCGGACTCGCAACCGTAAGGTCGTGGGTTCGAATTCCGTCAGGGACCCGACGTTGTGTCCTTGGGAAAGGCACTTTGCACAAATTTTCCTCACTTCACCCAGGTGGAAATGGGTACTCAGCTACAGACAGAGAAAGATCTTGTCAGTTTGATAGTGTTTGAGCGCGTGAAATCCGCAGCTTGCACTGTATGCTTCCGCGGAAGCTGAGAATGTTTCGGAGTGTTCTATGGTCTGCTGGGGTAATAATATAGTGTAAAGCGCATAGAGCCTGCTGTTGAGCGGGGATATGCGCTATACAAATGCTATTTATTATTATTATTATTATCATCATTAAGTGGCCCAGGTTCCTACCGGGATTCCAAGTCTCACACGACCCGGGTTGGCTCCTACAGGCAGGGCAGAAAGCAGCCAACTTTCCAAAATTACCAATAAATTATGTCTACATATATTATACATTTACAACTTACTCGGGGTAGATTGAATGCCTGGCTCCATTGAGGGCCTGTTTATTAAATCGAAATGGAGTCGAATAAGAGTGTGTGTGACTTAATACGGAAGAATGTGATGGACATGTCTCAAAGATGCGTCACAAAGCTAAGCTAAGATGTTTTTGTACTCAAAGTGGGTTTTGTATTTTGATTTGCTGGTTTTCTTCTTCCGTATTTCGGACCACGTCCCACAATCTTATCCTGACGATACCTAAAATACAGCCTTTTATAGTAGGTTTCAATAGAGATTTTTGAGTCAGATCCTTTCTGGAGAACCATAAAAATGCATTGCAGATTAAAGTAAATGGTACTCAGAAGTGGTTTTTGTTTGGGGATATGCTAGTTTTCCTCTTTCTTTTATCGAACCACGTCCCACAATCTTTTCCAGATGTTACCCCAAACACAGTCTTTTATGGCAGGTATCAAAAGAGGTTCTAGAATCAGATTTTTTCAGGAGATCCATAAAAACGCATTGTGGACAAAAGTAAATTGTCCGTCTCACTAACAAATCACTTAATCACCCGGAGAAAGGGGTTCCACTCTAGCACCATAACTTCTCTGGCATAGGAGTGGTATCTTCCCAATGAGCTATTATGTTCATAACTTTTTCGAGCTAATATTTCAACCTGAGGTCAGCTGTACCACAAAAAAGAAAACTCTCTCCCCCCAACCCCCCCCCCCCTGAAGACCCAGAAATAGGGACAAGCTCATGTCAATGTCTTTAGTCCATACCAACACAATTTTGATCAGAGATTGCCCACCAGTGGGCGATTTGGTAATTTTGGTGTTCAGTGAAGATCATCCGGGTAGTGACAGATGTTTTTTAATACTCCTCTTGAAAATACACGTTGGTGGGTGGTACGAACATTTTAGCCTCATAATGTTTACTCAGTTGGACGCCTTCTATAGAAAGGTTGGCAAGTTCCAATTTGGATCATTTAGGAGGATGTTCTGTGCCTATTAAATCATGGCGCTCGATTAAAAAATATGACAAAAATATTATTTTGAAAGTAAACCTGAACCAGTAAAGCTATTGAAAAACTAGATGTTTGTATAATGCCTTGGTTTGCATGAGTCATTTTGTTTGATTTTCTGTGAACTGTAGAAATGGGCTGGGCCCTGAGGAAAGGGCGTTGGGAGGCAGAAACGATGGATTGAGAGGGGGCGGGCGAGGGGTGTGTGTGCGTGTGTGTGTGTGTGGGGGGGGGGGGAGGATAGTGGAAAGCAGTCTGTTGAAATGGAATTGAGAAAACCTTTCCATTTGTAGAAAGAGTTGAAAAAGACGTTCTTTGAGTAAAGACGGACGTACTGTAGGGTGGTGGGGTAGGGAGGTCACGAAGGGAATGTGTGGCTGGTAGATGAACCATGCAAACTTCGAAAAAGCTTGTACGTCAAAGAGAGATACATACAATGACAAAAAACTCTAAAAAGTAATGGAATATGCATAAGAACAGACATATGTATAAACTTTCCCCCACACGCATACACATATTCAAATATTCACTCTGTAACGCACACACACACATACACACATACGCACACACACACACACACACACACACAGACACACACATACCCGCACTCACTCAGACACTCACACATACATAGACGTACAGAGAGTCTCTCACGCACACAGAGTCACAGACACAAACATATACACCCATAACAGCCACTACTAGAAAACACACGTACACAACAATTACTGTAAGAAAAACACGCGCTCACATTCACACACATACTCACATACAAACACGTACACATGCTTGCTCAGACTTGTCCTATAGGCACCTTGTTTATGACGTCCTAAAACAGCGTTCTTAAACTTGCAGCACGCAGCTCGATTGAAGCAGATATTTTGTGGGTTCTATTGACATTTAAATTAAGTGTTAGTGCAGCGCAAGCATGGTCAGTTAAAAAAAAAGCATCCCACACCTTCCCTGAGCTTTTCAGGATGTTCCACCTGGACCAAGTGCCTTTTTTGGTAGCACGTACATGTATGTTTGAACCGCTCTTCTCCACCATGAAAGTGAAGTACCGATCCAAACAAATTTATGAACATTTCCAAGCCATACTGCTTGTTATGCAAATTATATGTAATCAACTATCACCACTACAGCCAGGTTGATTAAAAAACAACACACAGTTGTCCAAGGTTCCTATCCCAGGAAAGTCCAAATTTTGCTCGACTTCTCTGGTGGTCCGCGGAATACTCTTCCCTGGCCTGCTGTCACTTTTTAAAATGTAAGTGCTCTTTACGTCCCCACGGACGCAATTTAGACCATATAGTAGAGGACATCGAACCTGAGTTGCTGTCAGTGCCAACCCATGCTGAGAGGGATTCAATGTCCTTGCAGCGAGACGAAGATTCTCGATAAAAAAACCCTCACCACTCGGGAATCGGACTCATGTATTCCGTATGCGATTGCAAGGAGCCTAATCTTTACACCAAGGTACAAAGACACCTGCAAAAACAGCTTATCAAAGTTTGGAGCAGATGTCAGCTGAGGAAATAGCTGAGGTCAGGAAACATAGAGGAGAATGATAAAGAAAAAAATATTGTGCTAGAGAGCAGCTTCAGAAACAACCAGGCTGTGAAATGCCAACGAAGAAAGAACAACAGAGGAAAAACAGAGCTTTCATCCACATCACTGATATGCAAGCACAGCGACAGAATTATCCTTCAAACTTACGAAGAATTAGCCATGATAGAAGCTGCATGAAGACAACCTTGAGACCATCTTAAGCTAAAATAACTGTCTGCATAGACGAAAAGAGCCATACGTTCTTTACACCACGTTCACCAATAGCTAATTTGTTGTGTGTAACCATAAGTATGCGTCCTAGTTTGCATAGGTTGCATCACTGTAGACCATGAAGATTCGTGCACTGGAAACATTTTTGTTTGTCCTCATCTGTACTATTCTACGTCGGTTTGGTTCTATTAATCGGGCAAGATGTTAGCTCTGTGATCAGCATGCTTTATATCGCTTTTTGAGACACCTTGCGAGAATCGTGTCTAAAAGAGGAAGAATGATCACATCACCCTTATTTTAAGCTAGCTCCATTGGCTCCCAATAACATCTAAAATTATATGCAAAATAGCTGTCCTTTGCCACAAATCACTCAAATGTAAATAAAAACAAGCTCTCTAAGATGGGGAGATCAGTTTCTTATGAGAATACCTAGGAAGGGAGGCAAAACTAAACTCAATGTGAGACCATATTATTTTCATCTTGCGCCCATCTAGATCTATTTGGAGCTTCCCCCAACAACATTTGAAAGATACAAAGTCAGAGGAAAATTGTTTTAGAATTCGTTTATGACATATCGTATGAAACGCCATTTCGATAGTTAGTCCTTCTTACTCATGGTACTCTTACACTCTTTACGTGATACGCATTATATTGGTATCCATTGTGCTATGATAATAATATGAATGTTTTCTCATGGTATGAGCCTTAATTTAAGAGTGTATGCATGTACTTGTGTTTTGTGTTGAGGTAAAGGTGTTGTTGAGCGACTAGAGCTATATTGCACTGGAGTAGGCGCCACGGAATTTCTTCTTCTTTTTCTTCCTCTTCTTCTCTTTTTT